AACCAGCTGACTTTGATGTCGGGGTGGTGGCAGCGAGCGCTGGGCTGTGCGGATTCGGAGGCCCTTTCGTCGGTGCCTTTGCGCCTCCGTGTATCTCTACGCTCCTTGCACGTCGCTAGCCCTAGCGCAGTTCAGAGCAGACGCGTCCTGGAAGCCGGCCCCGGACCGTTCCTTGCTTAGCCAGCCTCTTGGCCAGTGGCTGTAAAGCCTGTGGCATGGCCAGGAGGGTGCGTCGGTCAGGAAGTGTCAGGGCCTGGGCGGCACCTGGAGGAGACCCCTCAGAACCTCGGCCCATGGCGAGGCCTGAGGGTCTGTCTCTGCTGTTGGCGCTGGAAGGGAAAAGCTTGGGGTTCTTCCTCGCTCTTCGTTAGCAAGCTAAGCCCCTCCTTGGGTTTCCAAACTCTTTTCCCTTAAGGACAGCTGCTAAGGAGAGGAGCTCCTGGCCAGCCATGTGACTGCTTGCGATTTTGCCTTTCAGGCCTGAAGGGTGGCGGCCCCAGCGGTGGGAGCAGCGGCGGTGCTAATGGTACCTCCTTCAGCTACACATTCCATGGAGATCCTCATGCCATGTTCGCTGAGTTCTTCGGTGGCAGAAATCCCTTTGACACCTTTTTTGGGCAGCGGAACGGGGAGGAAGGCATGGACATCGATGACCCATTCTCTAGCTTCCCCATGGGCATGGGTGGCTTCACCAACATGAACTTTGGACGCTCCCGCCCTGCCCAAGAGCCCATCCGAAAGAAGCAAGATCCCCCGGTCACCCACGACCTTCGGGTCTCCCTTGAAGAGATCTACACCGGCTGTACCAAGAAGATGAAAATCTCCCATAAGCGGCTGAACCCAGATGGAAAGAGCATTCGAAATGAAGACAAGATCTTGACCATCGAAGTGAAGAAAGGTTGGAAAGAAGGGACCAAAATCACCTTCCCCAAGGAAGGAGACCAGACCTCCAACAACATTCCAGCTGATATTGTCTTTGTTTTAAAGGACAAACCCCACAATATCTTTAAGAGGGACGGCTCTGATGTCATTTATCCTGCCAGGATCGCCCTTCGGGAGGTAAGGCACTAGCTAGGATGATGTCTATGGAGGGCGGTGAATGCTTTTAAAGCCATTTAGTATTTGCTCATGAAATGTGTCTGAGCACATGGTGAATGCCAGGCTTGGGGTACAGCAGAGAGCAGGACCGACCAAGGCTCTGTTCTTCAGAGTTTCCATGCTATTGACATGGGTAGAGGTAGGGGTCAGGGTCTTAGCTGCAGAGGCCTGATGGATCTTACCCTATACCCAGCAGCCTCTGGACTGTTGAGCTTCCTAAGCTATCTCCATCTAATGCTGTCCCTTTGTTTTCCAAGGCTCTGTGTGGCTGCACAGTGAATGTCCCCACTCTGGACGGCAGGACCATACCCGTCGTATTCAAAGATGTCATCAGGCCTGGCATGCGGCGAAAAGTTCCTGGAGAAGGCCTCCCGCTCCCCAAAATGCCCGAGAAACGGGGGGACCTCATTATTGAGTTTGAAGTGATCTTCCCTGAAAGGATCCCCCAGACCTCAAGAACCGTACTTGAGCAGGTTCTTCCGATATAGCTACCTGTCCCCCAAGGACTGAACAGGGACCTTTCCAGAGCTCAAGGATTTCCGGACCTTTCCACCAGTCGTGGACCAAGAGAGGGCGGGAGGGCCCAGGGAGGGCTTTCTGAATGTTTTCCAGAGAATATATTACAATCTTTCAAAGTTGTGCACTAGACTTAAGTGGTTTTTCGAGTGCTAGGGCATCAGGTGGTGGAAACAGCAGGACAAGACATTCCAGTCTGCCCCTGCTGTGTCCTGTAGCCCTCCTGGGATGGCCCCACATCATCCTCCAGTCCCCACCAGGGGTGTGAGGCAGACCAGCAGCTGGATCTCTCTGTGGTCCCTTTGCTTCCTGCTGTCAGGTGGTGTCGACCTGCTTGTCTTAGTTGCCAGGCCCTGTCTGCTCCATGGTTTCTGTTGCGTGATCACTTTTTGTTTTATTCTGTATTTGTGGCCCACATCCTGCTCTTCTGAAGAACCCTGTCTTCTCTTTGGCCATCTCAAACTGAGAACCTAAGCGATTTCTGCAGAACTGCCTGGCCAGCGCCCACAAGCAGTACCTCTTGTTCCAGCAGGACCAAGGGAGCCAGCCTCCAATGAGCAAGTCCCACAGCCGTGTCTTCCCCTGAGGGGCTGGGAGCCCAGCAAGTGCAGGGGGCCCTCTCGACTCCTGGCTGTATTAAAGCTGAATTTGCTCACTGGGTCACACTCTGTCCTTTCCTGTAAGGCAATCTTGACACATCTGGGGCTTACCAGTGGTGACCCAGGTAATTTTTTTGTTTCATGGACTCTGGACTCTTTCAAAAGGATCTGATCCTTTTGAATTTTGCACAGCCCTAGATATAATCCCTTTTGATAAAAGGGTCTTTGCTTCTGATTACAGGAGCACTGTGGAATGTCTGTAAATATGTTTTTATAATTCCATGTAAAGTTGGTGTGTACTCAGACGAAGCCAGTCCACAGCAGCCTCTTCTCTCTGTCTAGGGCCCCAATGGAATTCAGAAGACACCTTTTGGGAGGGGCTTGTGGAACAAATGTCTATTCCCTGGAGGCTAGTCTGGTGCTCATACCTTTAGACTCATTGTAAGTTGCCACTGCCAACTTGAGACCAAAGTGTGTGACTTGTCGATGTGCAGCGTGACAGCATTAAAGACTGATGCTAAACCTCAGGGGAGCAGTCCTGCGACTCTGTTTGAGGGTTCTGGGTGGGGACCTGGCAGTCAGGGTGGGAGGTGGGCAGCAGGCAGAAGTCCTGCAAAGAAAGGATTGTCTCCTTTCCTGGGTCGTAATGTGGGTTAGAGAACTTCAACCCATCCAGACTCTGGGTCCAAACATCCAAAGAGACCCAAGTGAAGTAGCTTCAGGTCTCATTTATTTCATGAAGGTGGGGGCCAAAATGATGGGGAGAGCCAGGGCTGGCTCCTAGTTCCCCTCCCCGTCTTCCAGGGTTCCTGACATCCTAGGGGACTTGGGTGCTGGGGCAGAGAGAAGGTGCAGAGTCTGCCCTCAAAACTCTCGGTCACTCTTCCTGCTAGAACAGGCTGGGTGTCTGGCAGACCTGGCCAAACCAGAACTAGAACTTCAGCCACTTGGGAGCCAGCCCAGGACTGGCCCCACCCTGGAGAAGACCCATTTCCTATCCTGGCTTTATTTGCAGGCCACTGAAGCTGTTTTTACTTTGTAGCTTTTTTTAAGCTGGTTTTATTATAAGGTAAGTAATTATACAGGCTTAAAACAATGTATTGCTTCTTTGCTACAAAATGTTTTCAAGTAGAAACATTGTATATGATAGTCTTCCCATTGAAACAATTTAACCTCTGGAAGCAGTCTTGGGGCAGTACTGTCCAGGAGAACTTTCTGCAATGATTGGAATGTTCTATACATCTTTTATTTAAATTCTTTAAAGAATTAAAATATCAGTTCCTCAGTCACTCCTGACCATGTACACGTGGCTAGTAGTCACTCTTAGTGCAGGTCTAGAGGGCTTTTCACCAAGTGTGGGACATGGATCACTTTAAAGAGCAGCCACATTAAGCCAGGAGACACTGTTCCAGTCAGGTGGTGACCCTGGGATAACAGCTGAAAGATGTTCACTGAACTGTCTGAGGCCCCAAGGTCACATTGACTGCAGAACTGGCCCTGATCCCATTTGAGTCACAAGTCCCCAGGGCTGCCACCCACTGCCCCCAGTCTCCATGACACAGCAGATCCCTGTGAACATCATGCTGAAGTGCCACAAACACAAGTGCATGAGACATTAATGTACACTTCTACAAACAGCATGGCCAAGCAGCCTAACCCAAGTTAGGGAGTGGGGTGGTAGGGCTCCTTGGGGAAAATCTCTGTGGTAAAACAGACAAAAAGAACTCAAGTGGGAAGAAAGGCTACCTCTCAGATGTGCAAATTTTTGCTCAGGTATCCTTTTCCCCCTTCTGGGGTTTTGAGTTTGTTTTATATTTTGAGATAGGGTTTTGCTCTGTGGCCTAAGCTGGAGTGCAGTGATGCAGTCCCAGTTCATTGTAGCCTACAACTCCCGGCCTCAAATGATCCTCCCAGGCCACAGGTTTGACCACCGCACCTGGCCCAAGCCTGCCCGGGCCTCCCAAAGTGCTAGGATTACCTGCATGAGCCACCTTGGGCTTTCCTTTAATGAATTTTCCTTTGCCCACAGTGCACATGTCAGGCTCCTTCAGCAACAGGAAGCATGGAGTTGCCTCACTCTAGACCCTATGCGATGCTGAAGGTGCACATTTGTATTTGGCCTCTGGTGAACAGCTGAGCCTGCTGCCCCCAGGCCTGAAAGTTCCCCTTCCAGGCACCACGACAACAAGCGATGACATCACAGATGTTTCCCTTTTCTGATGGGGGGTGTGTGTGCCCGCGCACACGCTTCCCACAAGAGAGTGAGTTTGGACTTACATAAGCACAGGCATAATTTCTAAGTTTTCCATTTTCTTTTTTGACTCTCTAATCACATTACAAAACCGGAAAGGGGGCACAGAGTGAAGATTCTCCCTCCCACCTGACTCCACACCCCCAGCCAGAATGAATGTTCCCAGCTTCTGTACCTCTCCTGAGAGGCACGGAGTACGTTTGCCTTTTTTTTTTTTTTTTGCATAAATGGTACACACTGTACACTCTGCTTATTTTTTTCTCTCACATAACGTGTCATGAAAATAAAGAGCTCCCTCATTCCTGGTCTTCCACACCTGTATTCTACCAGGCCTACCCAGATAGGTGTAAAGACCCAGTTGATGGATTGGTGACCCCTGACCCCTCTAGCAGCTGTCTTGGCTTCCGGGTTTAAGTCTCAGCTTAAGTTTAGCTGGGTGGTCTTGGGCAAGTGACCTAACCTCCTCCTCTTCTTTTTTTAAGTCAGGATCTCACTCTGCCATCCAGGCCAGAGTGCAGTGGCATGATCACAGCTCACCACAGCCTTGACCTCCTAGGTTCAGGTGATCCTCCTGCCTCAGCCTTCTGAATAACCAGACTACAGATGCCTGCCACCATGCCCACCTAACTTTTTTATTTTTTGTAGAGACAAGGTCACACTATGTTGCCAAGCTAATCTCAAACTCCTGGGCTCAGGTGATCCTCCCACCTTGGCCTCCCAGAGTTATGGGATTACACTTGTGAGCCACTGCTCCTGGCCGACCTAACCTCTTTGTGCCTTGGTTTTTTCAACTGGAAAATGGGCATAATAGCAGCACCTCTCGCCTAGGTTTGCAAGGATTTCAAGATGTACAGATGTATGCACGTGAGAGGTGAGGCCCACCTCCACACACAGTAGGGAGGTATGGCCCAGAACAGCACTATGTGCCTGCTTTTGTCATCAATATTCCCTTTTGTGAAGATGTCTCAGCCCAGGCTTGTAACCCTAACCCTGAAGGCAAGGTGAGTCCGGGAGCTTTGGGGCTTGTGCTCTGTTGAGAAGCCCAAGAGAGTCACTGAGACTCTCAGCTCAAGCCTCTGCTCTCACCCAACCTGAGGAAGCCACACCTAAAGCAGGTGATTTCTGTAACACACCTTTTTAAAAAAAATTTATTTTAGAGTCAAGGTCTGTCTCTGTCACCCAGGCTGGAGTGCAGCAGCACAATCAGCTCACTTCAACCTTGACCCCCTGGGCTCAGGTGATCCTCCTGTCTCAGTCTTCTTAGTAGTTGGGACCACAGGTGCCACCATGCCCAGCCCACACCACCTCTTGACAACCTGCCCATTCAATAGAAGCAGCAGAGCACCAAGCTCCAGAGCTGGGCAGCTCTGGGTTTGAATCCCAGCTCCACCATCCTGCTGCTGTGTGTCCTTGGGTAAGTGACTTCATCTCTGAGTTTCAGTGGCCGCCTCTGAAAAATGGGGGAAATGCAAGTGCAGATCCCACTGTGACAACAGGTGGCACATTCAGGAAACAAAAGACCACAGCATGAAGAACCCAGGTGGTGCAGAGTTCAAACCCTGCTCCCTGCAGTCCCTGGAGCCAGTGGTAAAACCTTCCGGAGAAGAATCAGGCCTAGCAGCCCCTCCCTTCTCACTCACCTGGAGCTAGACCTCAGCGAGGCCTGGGAAGGGCCTCGGGTAGGCCTAGAAACTCAGATAGGCCTGGAACACAGTAAGCACTGCAGTTGACATTAGCACACATGCCTAAGGCACTCGGCAGCAAACCTGCCCCTGGCCTCCTAATATGTCAGCTATGCTCCTTGAATATCAGCTATGCCAATAATGACACCGTGCCTATCACAGAATGAGCACTGGACAATTTCATAAACCTTTGTTGAGCACCTACTGTGTGCCGCCCATGTTTCTGAAGCAAGGGAACACAGCAGTGAACAAGGGTGGCAAAACTTCCTGTCTCTGCAGAACTGATGGCTGAATAGAGGGAGGAAGGAAATAAGGAATTAAACATCTGGCCAGGTGTGGTGGCTAATGCCTGTAATTCCAGCATTTTGGAGGCCAAAGCAGGAGAACTGCTTGAGCCCAGGAGCTTGAGACCAGCCTCGGCAACCAAGTGAGACCCCCCCATCTCTACAAAAAATGAAAAAAATTAGCCAGATGTGGTGGCAGGCACTTGTAGTCCCAGCTACTTGGGAGGCTGAGTCGGAAGGGTCACTTCAGCCCAAGAGTTGGAGGCTGCAGTGAGCTGGGATCATGCCACTGCACTTCAGCCTGGGCAACAGAGTGAAAGCCCAACTCAATAACAATAATCTAGGCCTTAAAGAACAGGCACTCTTCTTCTGTCCCACCAACCTGAGAGCGTTTTTTGTAGGCTGTCAACTCCATGCTTGCCGGAGGGAAGGTGGAGTCTGATTCCTTCTGGGTTCTCAAACTCTGCAATTATCCCTTGAGACACTTTCTCCTCTTTGTCACAATGGGGGGTGGAGGAGAGAAAACCTCTGGGAAACACCCCACTCTAAAATATCCCCCTCTGTGGCAACCCTGAGTTTCCTTGAGATCACCAGCCACGTCCTCAAAATCTGCATCGCCTGTACCCAGAGAGATGCTTGCCCCAGAACTGACCTTCTGAGTGTTTGCCAAATGAGTAATGAAGTGACAAAGTGATTCAGACAAGAGGACCTGTGGCGTTTGTCCTGTGACCGTTCAGAGAGTGTGCAGAAGAAGAACAACCTCACCCTGGGGTCTTGCTGGTGGTCACCCACCCCCCACCCCGGTCGGGGACCCCCATGTTCCACGTCCCAATTCCCCCAGCTCCCACCAGGGAGATGTGGATGGTCACTTAGTCTGGGGGGCCTGGTCTCATTTCCGATTCATGGATGAGTTATTGGGCCCAGTTCCCAAGGAATGGCTCAATGTGAGGCCTGGAAAACCAGGGATCAGCGAACGTGACAATTGTGTGTGTGTTGGGGGCAGGGAATGAAGCTCACAATCTCCAGGGAAACACAGACCTGTGGGTTCCAGTTTCCTGGGGATGTCATAACAAATAACCCCAACCCTAGTGGCTTAAAACAGGTTGAGGCTGGGCACAGTAGCTCCTGCCTGTAATCCTAGCACTTTGGGAGTCCAGGGCAGGAGGATTGCTTGAGCCTAGGAATTGAAGACCGAGTGTCTACCAAAAAATCAAAATATTAGCTGGGAGTGCCAGCATGCACCTGTAGTCCCTGCTATTCAGGAGGAGGAGGAAGGATCACTGGAGTCCACGAAATCCAGACGGTGGTGA